CGGAGCAGAACATTTAATAATCAGAGTTGACAAACTTTGGTTAAAGAAAATTAAGTGTTAAATTTTAAAAGAATTTATATTTAATTTAAAATGAGTAAGTGTGCATACATGACCATTCACCCATTACAACAAATTGACATGTATTTCTTTCGAGGTTATATAGCTTTGTACATTGGCCTTTCATGTGAAGCACAATGGGAGGCCCGGGTACCAAGTTATCCAAGGTTATTTCTCACTCCGGCGGAATGGCCGGGCTATGGTCCGATCGTCTTGGCCCAGCCTTGACAGACTGGTTCGCCAACCATTTATGGGTTAAGAGTATGATGTATTTTGTCCTCAGTTAGCAGTTCCAACATTTGCTGAAATAAAATATGTGCGCACACACCGTCTTTAAGATCAATGTTCCAATGTCAATTTTGACGGCATCACGATCTCAATTTTTTTCCATAGACCTCAATGCTAATGTTTTGTGAAATAAATATACTTTCAATCCTACCTCAGCTTGCGTCTCACTCGCTGTCATAGAGATTAATGCTAGATTGTCCATTTAACAAGGACAGAACCAAGTACTCCATTATATTGAAGAGAGATAACTCTGATGGAACTAAACTGGGGTAAGACTTATAGTTAAACCAGATACAAATTTTAAGATGTGTATGGCAAAAGAAAAATCATAAACAATATAAAATATTATATATATATATATATATATATATATATATATATATATATATATATATATATATATATATATATATGTATATATATGTATATATATATATATATATATATATATATATATATATATATATATATATATATATTTGTGTGTGTTTATATATATATATATATATATATATATATATATATATATATATATATATATATATATATATATCGCATGTTGCCAAAGATAAAATATTTTTAAGTCTGGCAGAAAATACAACTCTTGCATAATGCACCAGTCACAGCTCTTAAATACAATGTTTCCTTTCCTTAAGCTCGTTCATCTGGGATTGTACATCTGGTACCATTACACCAAACAAGGTCAGAATCCGGTTCTCTAATGCATTTGGACAGATAACTCTGTTGAAACTAAACAGGGTAAGAACTATCCAGGTACTACGGATGCATTTTCGATGATGTGCATCACACTTTTCAAAAATTATAAAAATACAAAATGTGATCTATAGATGAATTAATATAGTTTCACCTATTGCCGAAAGACTTAACTTTTTTTAAGTTAGACAAAATCTATTTTGTTTTTACATAATTGACTATACATAGCTAGTTTTTGTTGTTTATTTCTGAATTCACTGTTCCCTACGCATTTAGCTCCACCCCCCGGAGTTGTTCATTTGGTACCATTATACCATATAGCTATGTTGAGCAATAAATTGGAGTATGTCATTTGTCTTGAGAAACTGCATGCCCTAACTTAGACTTATGTTAATACACTCTGGGTACGGAAGAAACCTGTCAATTTCTAAGGTCAAAGGTTAAGGTCACAATGTTTAAAAGAAACTTTTTTTTTTGCACCAAGTTTTTAGTTTTTGCTAATATACCTTATGTACCTTAAGAAAAGCTTGTGGTTGATTTACACGTTTTGTGGTTGTGGATTTGGCAGTCGAAGTATAACGTCATGGTTACTGTTACTAAAATAAGAACATTTGTTTTTATATGATAATCTTAATTCTAAACTACCTTCACCTTGTTGAGTTTTTGCATATAAGGTATCTAGGAGGTACATTTATCTTGTGGTCAAAAATTGAAAGGTCAAGGTCATTGCGAATCAAATCATTTTATGAGCTACTTCACTGACCAAACTTTGTGGATGGCTTGCAGTAAAGAAATTTGGAGTTTTTTGTGGTCTTTGAGTCAAATATGGTCATGGTAAGTCCATCAGGACGGAATAATTAGTTTAATACTTCATACCTTGATCAAACGTCACTGATACCATTTGGTCAGTAATCAACAGTCAAACATGTCCGACTAGTACCTACACAGAGGTTTATGAAATACTGCGTGGGTGTACATGCTCCCATTTAAATACAAGTTTTGTGCATTTTTTGATAAAAACTTTGGTAACAAGATAATAAAAATAAACTTTCTGTAGACTAATGAAATTTAGTAGGCACATTTGCAATCACAAATACAAGACCGAATTATACAGACTCTCTCTCTCTCTCTCTCTCTCTCTCTCTCTCTCTCTCTCTCTCTCTCTCTCTCTCTCTCTCTCTCTCAGTTTTTATCAGTCATATGGAATTATACACGATTTTCGCTTCATACTGATCTTCATTATGTATATTTCATACATTCATATATTATTTGTTTTTCTTCTCTAACAGTATTTAATGTATTCATTCTTCATTCTGTATTTCCTATTCAACATTTCTTCCTTGCAATTTAGACTTTGTCAAAATGCAATTTATATGTTGCATTTTATGAATCTATTCTTTGGTAAAGTTAAAGCATTAGGCAAAGTCCGTATTATCATATACCTTAAAGCGTATTGTACGTTATAGCTTGTTCTAATATTTCATATTTGATAAGAACCTGACTTTTCCCTCAATAGAGTTTGAAATGGAGCTAGCATGATCACATGGCCTTCTAAACAATTATTTAGCTGCGTTGGGAGCCATCCATAAATGACGTCACGCATTTTTGGCCGATTTAGGACCCATCCCTCATCCCACGTCATCACAAAAAGTCAGATCCCCTCCCTCAAATCACAAATCTCTGCCCCACCCCTCGAAAAAGCGTAGCTTTAACATTTATTCAGTCATATCGCTACGATGTCTGCAGTGTGATAGTTTATAGTGATGTCTAGCACTGGGATATCATGCCACAGACATGTAGCATGATGTCCCACTCAGTCGCATTATCCTGACACCATGCCGACCAATGGTGGCGCTCTACAGTTTCATATTTAGCATAGGGTTAAAATTTTAAAGAAAAAGAGTTTCCCCGGGTTGCCTCACTAGTTATACTGGTTATTTAAAAGAGACTTTGTATATCTTAGGTGTTTTTCAAAGAACCTTTAATTCCCTTTATTTTGATGTATGATTGATAGGTGTAATACGGGTTAGAGAATATACAGCTTGGCCTTACTCCAGATGTGCATCTTTCAAAAACGTGCTAGCTCTACTTGCTCATTTTCACTTCTCGAACTTCAGAGGTAAATTGTAAAAAAAAGAGCCGATAACATTTTTTTACATTTTATGTATTTGGTAATTCAGTCATTGCACTTTTAGAAGCTGGTATTATCTAGTTTGGCAAAATTCATTTTCCATATTTTAGTAGCTACCAAGAATAGTGTACTTTATACAAATTTAGGTTGATTTTTGGAGCACAAGGGAGCAGTCATTTTAGTTAGCAGTGTCCCAAGATCATTTAAAATTTCCAAAAGTACAATATCCAAAGAAATTTTATCCACATTACATGAAAGTAGTATATAGGTATGCCAACATTCTTTGCACTGTGCATGTTTAGAATGCAAACAACTTCACCTTACATACATCACTCTCTCAAAAGTACATAATAACTGGTGAGCGCCACCATAAATAGAATATAGGTATTATTATTGTATGATTTAATTTTGATTGTACGACTGAAATATTTAAGTCACAAGCATCAAAACAGTCTTTTGTAATAATTGTCATGTATTTCCCCCCTCAGAACAGCATTTATTAGAGTCAGAGTCTTAAACCGGTACAGCCCCCCCCCCTCCTTATGATAAAAAGTGAACTATTTTAAAAATGCGCATTGCATTTTGTCAACATAGCAACCAGTGTTATGCTGATAGACAGGAACATGAAACTAGCCATATTTATTCCTGAGATGTCAACAATAAATTTTACAGTTATAAAAGGGATATAACAGGTGAGGTTCATAAAGGTCAAAGGTCAAAGGGTAAATATTAACTAATTCTTTGATATGGAAGAAAGCAAATTTGCTTTGTTATCATTTATTTTTTAATTTCATTGCAAATAAATGAAATAAAACATTTTCACTATGATTTCTTTTACTTAATGCAACATTTTTCAATTTAAGTTGACTTTATTCCTATATTCTAAGACTTCTAATTTCCCCATAATGAAGGTCACTACTCACCCAAACATGCCTCATATCAAATTATGTATGCTAGAGCAAAAATAAGCATAACTAGCTTATTTTCATGAATAAAATCATTGTTAATGTACCATTTTACTCAGAACATCATACATAATAATATGAAAATAAAAAAAAAATTTCATAAATGTTTATATTTGTTTTTAAGGTGGCGCTCTACAGTTTCATATTTAGCATAGGGTTAAAATTTTAAAGAAAAAGAGTTTCCCCGGGTTGCCTCACTAGTTATACTGGTTATTTAAAAGAGACTTTGTATATCTTAGGTGTTGTTCAAAGAACCTTTAATTCCCTTTATTTTGATGTATGATTGATAGGTGTAATATGGGTTAGAGAATATACAGCTTGGCCTTACTCCAGATGTGCATCTTTCAAAAACGTGCTAGCTCTACTTGCTCATTTTCACTTCTCGAACTTCAGAGGTAAATTGTAAAAAAAAGAGCCGATAACATTTTTTTACATTTTATGTATTTGGTAATTCAGTCATTGCACTTTTAGAAGCTGGTATTATCTAGTTTGGCAAAATTCATTTTCCATATTTTAGTAGCTACCAAGAATAGTGTACTTTAGACAAATTTAGGTTGATTTTTGGAGCACAAGGGAGCAGTCATTTTAGTTAGCAGTGTCCCAAGATCATTTAAAATTTCCAAAAGTACAATATCCAAAGAAATTTTATCCACATTACATGAAAGTAGTATATAGGTATGCCAACATTCTTTGCACTGTGCATGTTTAAAATGCAAACAACTTCACCTTACATACATCACTCTCTCAAAAGTACATAATAACTGGTGTGCGCCACCAATCCTAACACTAACTCTTAATGCTGAGCTCCAAGCGAGGCAGCTGTAAGTACCATTTTCGAAAGTCTTTGGTATAACTCGGCGGTGTTCGAACCCGTGACCTCCCGCATGCAAGGCGGATGCTCTAACCACTAGGCCACCGGAGGGGTGAATTTTCCATTTGATAAAGATGACAAACCATTTCTCACAGTAACCGTTCAGATGAGGGACGAATCGAATGTAGGTGTGATAGCACCATGAGCATAATAAACAGAAAAAGCCACCGCAATAAAAATAAAGCTTTAAAATTTATAATTTGATTCATTTGGGAAAAAACGAAAGATCATGCAACAAAGTTTTATAATAATATACAAACCCCCTTAAAAATATGAAAGAGCAAATTTATTCGTGACTTAAAGAATATTTATTCCTTTGGTTGTAAATTGAAAAGATTATTTGAAACATTTGTGCCTTTTATTTTCAAGGACAAGGTTTAGCTTCAATACCTCCAATAATGCGATTGGTTCGTTCCATTTAGCATTTTCAGGTGTCGAAAAATCAGTCTGTGTTAATTCCATTTTGAACAAACAAAAATAAAATATAAATAAACACGTGTAAAATTGGTGGTTTATATGGTTGAAGTGGACAAGACAACCACAGGGAGTGTACTATCTTTAATCAACAAGAAATATAAAGCAGACCCCCAATTTCATTCATGGATCCTCCGTCGTAAACAATACTCGACCTTAAATCTTGCTGCAATATTCTTTGAGAAATCCACGGGCTGCATTGGTCTATTTCTGGTGTCAATTACCAGAGACATACATAACACATGTTGTAGATGCTTTTGCGTTATAAATATGCATACGATTTTAATATTCAAATTATTGAATAAAATGTGATATGGCGGATTGGTCAGATGTTAATTTATTTAATCGTTGTTACCAATGCTATATATTTCTGAACTTTAGCTGTTCATTCTTCATCGTCGTGTGTACGCTCTTCATGTACTAACTGAAGAACCCTGAAGTTAAAACCTATCGACTACCAGCCGTCAGTTAAGTGTTTGTTTACTTAACATTTAAATGGCTCTTATAATATCTACCTACAAATAAACTGGGCGTAGGATATATTCAGTACGTAATAAAATCTGAAGTACAAATTAGGCTTGGCTGACTAAGTAGTCGAGTTAACTGTCGTGTTTGGTTCGCTTCACTATATAACGTTCAAACAGTTATTTTTTCACTATATTTAAAAATTTAATGAAAAATTCACTTTGAGCAACAAAAAAAAAAAAAAAACCCCTAATAACAAAAATATTCTGTTTTAAAGAAAAGTATATCGTATCTAGTATTTGTGGTTATTTGTGACTGCGATTTTTGATTCGGGAAAAAATCTGTATTTCAAGACGTACGCATAATGGCAGGCTATCGTAGTTACCTGCTTTTCAGGTGACTAACTAGAAACAGCAGTCGCGGATCTGTCCTGGCATAATGCTCCGGCGCAGCGGAGTCAGTTCAGTTGGTTTAAACTACTAAATAGAGCAAAAATCATAAAACCTGATCTTCCGGCGCATTTCGCCACAACAGACCAAGATCTCTGTTCTTTACAGTTGGACTAGAGTTATAAGCGAGCACAAACGATGGGTTTAGGCAGGCAAGATTTACGCTTAGGACAATAAAACTACAATGTTGTCCTTATGATTAACATACGAATGCTTACAAAAAAAAATGTCAAATATTAGGTCGAAGAAATCAATAATCAGCGTGTATCCACTTTCTGCTATTGACCGATTCGGAGATTATTTATTTTCAATATCCCTATTGAAAACTGAAAATAATTAAAGCAGAACGAAGGATAGCAAAATAGCTGGACTATGTATTTTACCTATAATTATGAGATTCACATATCAATATCTACAGTACCGGTATTTGAGATTAATTGAGGTCAATATCTACTGTACCTATAATTATGAGATCATTTTGATTTCCGTATCTACTGTAGATCTATTTACGAGATTTTTTACGTCAATATCACAGTAGTTCTTACAACCACATATTTGTTTTTGAAAGACTCGATGTAAGGTCAAAATATGCTGAATGTGCGTTACTACTGCTGATATAGTCACGTGTCAATTAATATTAACTGTTTTCTCTTCGCATTGACGATCTTGAATGGGGTTCAAGACTTAACTTCAGCTGATTAACGCATATTTATAACTAGGACCTTAAGATGAGGCCTGCGTTCAAACAATTTTACATTCATACTTAAGAAAGAACTTAGTTTTTTTTCTCACGTTTTTGCCTTCTTTTGGACTTTTTGGGTGGTATTTTGGTGGCTGTTGTTTGTTTTAACGAAATATTCCCACCCCCAGCAACCTCTAGCCCCCATCCCCAGGCAAGCACACGCACTCTCTAAACCCACTCCAACCCTTGGTTCTTGGACCCTATTAAATTTGTCCATCTCCTGAAAGTAGAAGAAAACTAAATGAATCATTTAAACATGCCAACTAGCACGATAATTAACTTGTAGAGAGATGAAAATGTTATTTCTGCAGCTCATTAGTAATTATATATTTCTAAATTCTTCTTAAAATGACAGTAAAGACCCTGAAAAATTATGTAAATGATAGAAAGGTATTGAAAATCTAACGAAGTATTTAGAAGATCTAAAGATCAACTGGATTCGTCAAAATTTGAATTAATTCTTTAATTTTAATCACACCTACCACACGAGGACGGCGCGTGGCTGAGGGTGGGTGGGTTGGTGGAGGGACGGGTAGATATACTTAAGGATTGGTCTTTTTAGCACGGAATAGACAGAGCAGCTTGAATTATGCTTACAAAATCATGCAGTTGCATGAACAAGCTGTCAGCTTGACTTTAAAGAAAAAGCCACCTGGACAAAAATATAAACGAAATGTTGTAATCAGGGTCAGCATATTAATATATCAACTATAAAATTATTGGTGGAAAAAGCTCACACACATACACTTATGGGAAATTTTAACCTCTAATATATTCGCAATAAAATTGATAAGTGTACCAACTCCATTAATGACAAGTCAGAAAATGGACATTTGAAGTCACCATCTTTCCGTCATTAAATAAATCAAAAACTTTGAATTGAGAGTAATAATTCATCACCATAGTTGTGGGAAATGGCATTTCATGTATTAAACAAAAACATCTGCGTTTTTATCATCTATTGTTGCTGCAAACAACAAACGAAATACAATGAGCAGAAATATGATATTCAGGGGTTGGTGTGTGTATGTGTGTGTGATTTAGATTTTTAACGTAGCTTTTACAATTTTTCAATCATATTGCTACGATGTCTACAGTGTGACAGTTTATAGTGATGTCTAGCACTGACGAATCATGCCGCAGACATGTGGCATGATGTCCCACCCATTCACATTATCCTAACACCAGGCCAACCAACCCCAACACTAACCTCTTAATGCTGAGCGTCTAGCGAGGCAGCTGTTAGTACAATTTTTTAAAAGTCTTTGGTATGACTAGGCCGGGGATCGAACTCACGAACAAAACAATTCGTCGGGTTGGAGTCTGAAACATCTCATCCGGTTGGAATCTCAAACGCAAAACTCAATGTAGCCAGCTTCGAGTAAAATTTTGTACCTGGGATCACCCAGATCACCCAGTTTATTTCTCTGTCTGTCTGTCTGTCTGTCTGTCTGTCTCTCTCTCTCTCTCTCTCTCTCTCTCTCTCTCTCTCTCTCTCTATATATATATATATATATATATATATATATATATATATATATATAGCCTGTTGTCACATATTTAGCGTAATTTTACAAAGCTGTTTAAAAAAAGACAAAGAATTTATGAGCGACTATTATATTCTATCGGTAAACTCTTAAACCAAGTACAATTAATCTTCAACTATACAATGCATTCACTTAATGGAACGCCGGGCGTGAAAGTATGGTTGTGTAAAGTAGGCTTTAACCACTGCACGGAAAATCGTACGTGGTATCAAATAATAGTACGATACTACTACTATTAATAAATAAATAAATAAATAGATAAATAAATAAATAAATATTGTATCAAGAGAGAGGGGGTTTTAGTGAGTTCATTTTGGTAATAGTATCACGAAACTACCAAACGTTTTAGAGGTCCGACTATGATATAATTGGTGATTATGGATTGTAAAAGATAATATCCAACACTCCGCCTGCTCTCTAGCTCATTTACCAATTCTAGTTATAGTTCCAGCTGTCTGATTATTGTCAAAATGTTTCATTATCTAGCATCCCAAACTATCTTCGAGAAGCGAAAAGAAATTTTTCATAAATAAAACTTGCAAGAAATTTGAAACCTCTAAAATGTTTAAACAAATGAGCAGTTTTGATATCTCTGCTTGTATATGTTGACATTTAGATCATTCCTAAAGTTCGATCTGCACAATATATAGCGAAACAATTGTACAAAGGAAACCGAGGGGACCATACAATTCGTCATTTTGGAGCAGTTGTCCGTTATACAGAGTGAAGTATGTAGGCTTTATAAAGGGAGGTTTACGCATCAGGGCCCATACTGTGGAACTGACTGAGTACAAAACCATACGGTGGAACTGTCTGAGTACAAAACCATACTGTGGAACTGTTTGAGTACAGAACGTAAACTCAGATGAGCAGACCCCATACTGTGGAACTGTTTGAATACAAAACCTAAATTTAAATGAGTAGGCCTTGTAATGAGAAACCATAGAACAGAATCTGAACTCAGATGAGCAGGCCCCACGATCAAGAAACTGGATACAAAACCTAAACTCAGAGAAGGCCCTATATCTAGATAACCATATTAGTACAAAACCTGAACTCAGACAAGCAAATCCCACAGTGAAGAAAATGAATACCAAATCTAAACAAAGGCCCAATGGCGAGGAAACAGTCTGCGTATTATGACAAAATAAAAGAAATAAAAGGAAAGAAGGAAAACAACGTCAGATGAGCAGGCCCCAAAAGCGAAGAAACTGGGTAATAAAGATGAACGCTGATGAGCAGGTCTTGTAGAAAGCAACCTGTCTAAGCACAAAACCTGGTCAAACTCAAAACTCAAAAACTATATTCCGTACTTAGAGTCTAAGGGTGATTGATATTAAGGATGCACTATACAACATTACACTACTAC